GTAATGGAACTACTAGGAATCATGTATTTTGTTCAGCACAAATTTGCTTCTTAAAGATGTGGGGTACTAACTCAATAATGCATGCAACTTCTCCTGTAATATTTTTCTGTTGTTTATTGTTTTCAGTATGAGCACCTTACTTTTGATTGCAAAACTGCCATCAGGAAAAGAAATGGAACTTTYACTGAGCATTCAGCTTGAACATGTAATAAAGACTTGATTTTCAGCAGCAGAAAAAAGTAATGTGCATGATAGGCAAGATCAGTCTATTGTGCAATTAATTTTATACATCTCCTTTTAGATAAACTRCTAATAATATATTAAAATCCTTTGTTTTTGATGCAGAGCTAGGGTATATTACATGTTGGACTAGTGAGATGCTACAAAGCATGGAGTTGGGGTATTGGAGGCAGCTGATGAGTTGTTGGCTTGTGRTTCATTTACTTCTAAGTTTCTCTTTGCACAGAGTCTGAGAAACCAACATGTTTCTAAATTGAACTAGCACAGATAGTCTTTAAAAGTTATACCTAGAAGATTTTTAGTGATAAGGCTTTCARATGTGGGAAAAATGAGTATTGCTAAATATTACTTAGTACTACAAAGTCCTGATCATATTTTTAGTCTTGTTAGTATTWCTTGGTACACATCAAAGGTGGCAGTGGGGTGAAGATTTAAGCATTAGTCCTGTAAGTGGTATTTTTGAAGTTTAACCATAGGAAGTCGTATGGTCCTCTTGGTTTCAATCCTGGCATGCTGAGAGTTCAGGACTCCTTTTGTCAACAGGCTTARTACTGAAGAATTTCCTTCTGCGCTGGTATACCTTTGCATTTCTAGCTGCATAGAAAAAATAGAGCTTCAGTGAGAGGAATAAAAGTGAATCCAGGTGTTTTTGGTTTTTTTAGGCACTAATCGTTAGCTGCCTGTTCTTTGGAAAAGTGGGTTAAGATGGAGTAAAATTCCTGTCAGATTCAGGAGGCATAAGTAATCTACTTAGTGTTCTGTGAAAATATAGATGACTGCACTACTAGTACTAATAAACAGGAGGGAAACTGTGCACCCTGTTCTTGCATTGTTTTCTAAACAATACAATGCTAAGCATTGATTCCTATACAGACTTGAGCTTGCTCAAATGGAAGTTCATGWTAAAATCCTGAAGCTTTTTGGGGTCTTAAATTGCTTACTGATATTTAAGCTCCTGAATTAAATTCACCTAATTTGACAGGTGTTCTAAATGTTGACTGTTGTCCSCCAGTTGTTTGAAAACAAAGCAGCCTGCTCAGGTGTTTGTTTAGARCCAGTCTGTAATCACACTGATTTGTTGGAAGGAACACGGTTTCAATTAGCTTAAATTTTATTTAATAATACTAATAATCTTGATAAAATTATTTTCCTGATTCCTGCTTTCCCCCCTCCCCGCATTTAAGCTATTTTTACTTAGCTGTAASTTCAAAATAAAAATTGTTGACTGTCACTTGGATGTTGAGTTGATGTTGTTTTTCCTGCTTGAAAAATACTCACCACCTCATTACTGCATTGATCACTAGTATACAAAAAAAAAATTCTCTGCTGACTGTAGTCTTTGAAGCTTTTCCAAGGAATATCACAGTAKTAGGCTGCTGATGGTGTGGAAGAATGCTAAAGACTTATGTTAGTGTTCAGTGTTGAATGTTCTACTATGGGATTCTTAACTGCTACTTGATTCTAGTTTCCACAGTGTTGCAGCTAAACTGTAGCTATTGTAKGTATATTGTCAGTTTATTTTGATGGGATGAAGAAGAAGTTTCTGGAAGCTTTAAAGTACTTAAGATGACTGGGACAAATCTGATAACTGGGGTTTGTGAAGAATAGGTGTGTTCTGACACTTGCAGCTTGAGAAGAAAGAACATTTTAGCTAGTGTAATCTTTCCTCTTCTTGTTGTGTGCWTGCTTTTTGCCTTTTGCTAGTCAGCTCTTTTTAGAATGAGTGCATTGATRGACTCATATGATTTTACTGAAAACTATTTCTCAATTATTAGTCCTAGGAAGTCTGGTTAGTGAAGAACTAGAATCAATCTAGTGACTTCAGCATTGCTGAAAGCCTCGTGCTTTTTGTATGTTAGGCCTGTTTTGTTCTTTTCTGATAAGCTCTGAAGMAGGTCCCTGTGCTGATGCGCTGGGCATCATAGGTCTGAGTGTGGTCAGTTTCCTTCAGATCCTTTGATCCTGTTCCTGCTTCCTATATGCCATTACCCACTATCTCACGTAGTCAGTGTGATAGTTCAGGGCTTTGAGGAGTTTTTCAGGCATAATCCAAATGCAAGGCAGGTTCACTCTACCTTCTTGTTGTTCTTTCTGAGAAGTTTCCTCTTCTGTGCAGATTGATGCGATAATCTCTTCAAGGGGTTTTATAATGAATTCGTTTGGAGTAGATGGTGTGCAAGTATTTAAAGGTGTGTGGTTTGGTTGTTTGTTTTTAAAAAGCYTTTCATACTTATAAAGTGAGACAATTGAATTAGACTTGCTGAATCTTTAAAGGATTAAAGATAGGATTGTGCCTTCAACTATAAGTCTCATATGTCTGGGTTTAAATGTCTTCATGTGATACAAAGAGATTGTGAATGCTCAAAGGCATCTTTAACACTTTCAAACTGTTCTTACTACACATACTCCTTCTAGCATGTGTACTTGGGGTACTGGTTTTGGTTATCATCTGTGTGGTTCTGGATACAGTTAGAGTCTTAGAATATCCTGAATTGGAAGGGACCTGCTGGGATTATCAAAGTTCAGCTCCTGGCCTTGTAGAGGACAGCCCTGAGGGTCACACCCTGTGSCAAAAAGCTTTGTGCAGTTGTTTCTTGACTGTGGCAGGATTGGTACTCTGAGGACTATTCTGGGGAAGTGTATGTACTAGTAGTAGATATACTGAATTTGATACAGTGTTTTCTGTTACWGTGGTAAATTAAAGGAAGCAACTATTTTGTGTTAAAAAGCAAACTACTACTATTAAAGAATTCTCTCTTGCTGTCTTTAGATGAGTGGCAATGGCTTTTGGTGTCTTGCGTCCTTCTTAAAGCGGGTTATGATGAGAGGTCCATAGTTACTCTGCAAATATGGTTTCTCTATTTCAGAGTTTTCTTATGAGTCCTGAGTAGGGGTATTTTGAAACTACATTGGTAAACTCTAGGAAGAGTGAATATTTTATCTCTTCTGAAAGTTGATCGGTAGCTGTGCACACATGCCCTGAAGAGTGTAGTTCTTATGGTTTTCCCTGGTTGGTTGTATTTTACCTTCTCTAAACTGTCCTGGGGTCTCTAGTCATTACTGTTGAAGACTAAGCTTCCTGTCCATCATCCAGCTTTCCTAATTAAACAGTGTAATCCGCACTCAGACTAGGAACTAAGGTCTGTTTTGTACTTTTGTTTATATTAAATATCAAAGTCCCTTTCCACTGGGAGGCTATTACTGAACTTGTTACAGGGTAATCAGGAGAGCAATGAATACTTACACCTGTGTAAAAAAAAAAAAAAAAAAAATTCTCTTGTAGTAAACCGGTAGTGGGCATTCCAGTTCAGTTTTTTGTATACTTTTTATGAAGATGTGTTGGATTTGTTGGCAAAGTGCATCTTTTAAACAAAGAGGGTTTTGGTAAATCTCTGCAATTTATTCAAATTGGTACTGCATTACCAGAAAGCATTAGGCTTACTCTTAAAAGGGCTTTGGACATCAAAGAAGAAGAGCCTTTATTTTACCATGCTTACATTAATTGTATGCACTGATCAATACAGAACAACTATTGTCTGTGCTTCTTTAAAACATACTTAGTGCATTTGCGCTGAGAATATAAATGTCTCTTTAAAAACAAGTGAAAGACCCAGATTTGGTGCAGATCCACCTGAATTTATGATTTCTGAGGAGACTCCTTTTGTTTTTTAAATGACAGTTGAAAGCAGTCATTTTATACAGTCTTCAGATTACCTCCTCTAGTTCCATGTATTTGCTTTAAGGTCTTTAATACCACTTCACCTTCAGACTAGAATGTGATAAGGGRGGCTCTCCCCTCTTTTCTCAGATATGTTGGATCCATTTTTTTTTGCTTTTGCCTACTGTTGTTTCTTGTCATGACTTTATTCTCCCATTAGTGGTTCAGATGGAAGATCAGTAGTTGGTCAGTRTGTCTCTTAATTCCACTAGAGGAGGTATTTTGTGATTTTAAAGTTGAAGATAATAAGTGGTGTTACTCATTAACCTAAATTTCTGTGCACTCCAATTTTCATTAGATCTTGTCATAACTACAGGTCACCTAGCTGGCTTAAATATAGTAGTTTTAAAACAAAATGGAGTTAGAATGATTGGGCTGTTGTGAACTGTTTTGTATGGTAAGCAGAAAATAGGCTAAGAAAATATTATGTAAAAAAAGGCATGAAAAATCTTTGATCTTCAGAATATTTCACTGATTTTTCTTAGGCTTAAATGGGGTTTCAGTTAATTTTAAAGTAAAATCTGAAACACATGATTGAGAGGTTTGGTTTTGAGTATCCATGTTTATACTGCAAAGGTGTTTTGTTCTCATTAGGTACAATGAAGCAAATCTTCCATATAATTGCATTAGTGATACGTGACATTAAAGCTTAATTGGCTTATTTTAAATATCTTGCACATCAATTTCCTTCAGATTGTGAAAATTGAAAAGGTCATGAGTGCAGTTTAATATTCCAGGGTGAGAGATTTCAATTTTAGTACAATTTGTAGAGATTTAATTAGGGAACATGACTAAAAGAAAAAGGATGTGGAATGCAAATTAGGCTATTCATTAGAGTATAGAAGCTGAAACATCTTGAAGTATTGTGGAAATTTGATTGCAGATTCAGTAAGCACCTTGATTGATTTTTTTAAAGTTATTTTTATAAAGTAGAAGTTACTGTAATTGTTCTGCAGGGTGTAGACTTAAACTAATTTTCATAGGCACTCTAAATGTGCATCTTTTTTCATGGAGTTTTCTAACTTATATTTTTATTTTGCAGGAGATTGATGAAGCCTGCAAGAGGATAAAACGTGAAATTGATGATTTAGGTCCTGAAGTTGGTGACATAAAAATCATTCCATTGTATTCCACCCTTCCTCCACAGCAACAGCAAAGGATATTTGAACCTCCCCCACCAAAAAAACAAAATGGAGCAATAGGAAGAAAGGTAAATACTAAGCTGTGTTTAGTATTCTCTTCTGTAAGTAGCTACCACAGTTRTATTGGCAGTGAAATATGACATTCAGCTCTGTTAAATATGTTTGGACACCAACAAGTACAACTGTTTCTTAATGAAGYCTTAAAAATGCAGTGTTTTATTACATTAGAATTGTTAGATATCTTGACATTTGTTTCTCAACAAATCAAAGTTCTGTCATCCACCTATACAGAGCCAGGATGTTGTGGTAACTGATTTGACTGAATGGAAGTGGCACTAATTTAAGTTTCTTGTGAGAATAATGATTTATGTGGAAGGATGTTTTTTTTTCCATAATAATTATTTTGAGACGTGTTGGTGGTGTGTTGGTTGGTTTGTTTCTTTTGTTTTTGTTTTGTTCCCTTTTTTGTGTTTGTCTGATTTTTGTTTTGGTTTTTTGGAGTTTTTTTTTGTTTTTTAGAGACAAAATGGGCTTTCAGGGTAGGTTGTCAGGTAGGTTATATCTGTTTCTTAAGGTTTATGAGAAGGTGCAAGTTAAAAAAGTATGTTGAAGTTTGAGGTTAGTGTTTTGTGTAGTAATAAATGAGGAATTTAGGTTATTTCATTAGGGTTTCATTAGGCAAAACTGATTAAAAAACTGAAAAACTTGAAATGGCACAGTGAATGTTCTTCATAAAATTAATATGTCAGTGTTCACAATAATCTGTAGTAGAAGCTGTGTGTTTAATAGAAAGGAAGCATATTAGAGTTTCCTGAAACTAAACTAATGCTCTATGAAATTGGCAGTCACAAAGCTAAGATTTTGAAGGTCAAAGCTGAATCATACTGTGTGCTCTAGGCAGAGTTTGTTCCTTGACTATTTGTTGGTTTTGTGCAGTACGATGCATGTAGAATACTAGTGACAACTTTCTAGTCTTCAGAAAGAGTAAATCACTTAATAAAYTATCTTCCTTTTCCTGTAGAAGTTGATTGGAGAAAGTATTCAGTCTGAAATAATGAAACTAGTGCTGCAACAAGATTGTGTTTGCAAATAACTTAAATGAATGAAATTYCTTTTAAGTAATAAACAAGTGATAGCTGTGTATTTCATGAATTTTCACTCATGTTGAAAACTATGCCCTTCAAAATAGGTAGTYTTTGGTTTTCTGCATAAGAGGATTACAAGTGCAGAGCTTTGATTTTTGTTAAAATGAYAGAGCCAGTACCAGTCTCTGAGAGAAAGACACTCTTGATGTAGCAGCTATTTTACTGCAAGAAAAGTTGTTAAGCCGAAATGATGCCAACTGTAGGCAAAAGCAGGCACGGTACATAGGCAACAGACTCAGACCTATGAAGTTACTTTTCCTCTTTGCCTACTTTGGCTGAAATGTTTTGGCTTCCATGTTTCCGTTTTTATCTCCATGACAAACCTAACTATGAGTGAAAGTGCATCTGTGTTGTAAATTTTTCAAATGTTGGTTTAGTTACATGTAGTTGTAGTGATCAAGATGCATAAAGTAAAACCATGTGGTGTTGTGCCTCTCCATATAAGAAAATGTCTGTTTTCATCCAGTGCCCTGTGGGAGTTGAACCTAGATTTTAGGTCTGCTGAGGAGGGAGCTAGTAGGTGATCTGAATCATTTCAAAGGCTCTACCGATTATACAAGTMGAGTGAAATGCTTGCAGTATCTGAATAAATATCTCCTGTGCTTTAACTTTGTGAAGTGAGAGATGGCAGAAGTAGTGTGGCATTTTGCTGTAGTAGTGATGGTAACAGTTAGTGGTGATACAGCTTGATAACTTAGCACTTTTTTTCTCCTCTTTGTGCTAAGAAAGCAGCTATTATTTCGAGAAGGTTTAAGATTACAGACAAATACTCTGATTAAGTAAGAATGTTTTTTTAATTGAGGAAGATGAAGATGACATAGCGTTTCTCTTGTCCTATGTTAAAGGCCCCTTGTCATCTTATCCTTTTCATACTGTTCTAGTTTCTGTTTCAGCAGTCTTAAGCATTGCTAGTTCATACATATGCAATATAGATATATTGTTAGATGGTAGATACTGTGTATATTTTAATATTCAAAACAATCTCAGAAACTGTAAAACTGCAGCTAAGGCTAATTAGAATTTATTATTTTATATAGTTTAGTGCTAATTTCAGCTGTTTGATGTCCAGGTAACTACGTACTGTGATTTAGATTTGAAAGATGTGTTATGATTTCAACAACTTAAAAAAAAAATCTTCTAGTTTTACAGTTATTAATTACTGGTTTTGAAGCAGTGTGACATTTACAAATGATACCAGCATGTGCAACAGAATCCACTGTGTAAATAATTTTTTTCCTTCTACCTTAGGAAAGTTCTATATAAATTGACTATAAATTAAGTAAATTCAGGCAGGAATAAAATTMTTGTACCACTGTGGATGAAGCATACTAACTGTATTGAGTTGCCGCTATTGAAGCGTCCTAACAGAAATCAGTGGTTAAAAGCAGGATAAAAACCTTTTGTGGCTGCTCTGTAATTAGTATTTGAAGAATCTGAGTGTGGATGGTTCTGTACATTAGTAGATACAGAAAACCACAAAACTTTTAAAATTAGGTATACTCTGTAATGGTAAGCTGAATGTGGATTGACTAGGCTTTTAATGTGGGAATGTGCGTTTAATTTGTATGTTTAATGCTGTACAAATTTTTAATGAAAACATATTGCARTTTTTAACTGACTTAAACTGAATTTGTAGCTGTTATCTATTGACTTACGTGTGCAGGTTGCCTGTGAATGATGTGTACAGGATTTTATGTTTGAGGAATTGTAAGTAGCACATAATTTCAGGTTGAAACACGATAATTCCAAATTACTTGCAGGCAGTGTTTTTTCCATCAAAGTGTTGCTTTCAATATATTGTAGTATTTGGGCAAGCTTATACCTTAAGAGGAGACAAGCTGAGTGTAATAAGTAGCCAGCTGGCAAAGTGATCAGCCAGTAGGAAGGGCTGCCAATCTAATCCAGTCACTGGCCTCATTGTAATTCTGAACTAAATGTTAGGGGTCTCACCAGTTCTAGCTGATAAACTGAAAGCAGTAATTGCAGAATGGTCTGAAATTAGGAAGTGAAGAGTAAGTACTTGTAATGAAATGCTGAACAAGTTTTGGGTCTTTTCTGAGGYAGCTGATGCAATTTGCTAATAAAGTGATTCAGTGGGGTCACTGTTGGAATGAGAGCTAGTGGTGTCCATAGCCTGTTACACTGCATCTCTGGATATAGAAATTTAARTGGGGACAAATCAAACCTTGGAACTCACCTTTGCTTTAACTTATGTGTGTGACTTACCTTCTGAAAGGCTAAGAAGCTAACATTAAAGGTGTGTGATGGTGTTTGTGTATCTGGTGATGGAAATAGACAAAGTAGAAATTAAATACGTATTGTTCAGGATTTTAGCTGGAATGTGTCCATAGCAGCTTTATTTCAATCCAAATAAAATATTAGGCTGCCACTGTTTATAACCTTTGGTTTAAATTATTTAACCAGTTTGCCCTCTTCAGGCTTTCAGAAAAAGGAAAAAAGCTAGAATAATAGATGATGTTTAAGGGSTCCGGTATAACTTGTCATTTTGCACCAAAGATGTGAGAAAAAATTCTGAGTAGTAGTTTCATAAGTTAAATTTTTGCTCTTCTTTTTCTCAACCAACATTTGTTATGTTGTTAACGAACTCACAGTGGAGCAAAAAACAGTGGATGAAAATTGCTCTCTTTTCAGTAGAAATCCATTAGGTTGATTTGAGATGATCCTGTAAAAGTGTTGTAGCACAGCTCTGGTAGTTACTGATTAAGTGATGGGAAGTTAGCTGAAAATTATTTGTGTGGAGACAAAATTGCAGCCATTCATCTTCAAGGTACAGTAGTTTCATTTAGTTGTTTGAGTTTTTGTTTTTTTGGGTTTTTTTCCGGCAGGTTGTTGTGTCCACTAACATTGCTGAGACATCATTAACAATAGATGGTGTAGTGTTTGTGATTGATCCTGGCTTTGCAAAACAGAAGGTACGTACAATTTTTTTCTCTTTATGGTAGGAAAGTTGCTGGAATCTGGTTTGCTCAGGTAACTTGTCACTTTGCAAACACTGATAGGTCTTTTTCCAGTTGAAATCTTGAACTTGGTTGATTTGGATTTGTTTGGTTTTTAACTTATTTTTTTTATGGTTTGCACTTAGTCTACAAACTTTAGATAGAATTATTTCATTTAAAAAAATAGGAGAATTTTGAGTTAGGCTTRGAATATCGATTTTCTAGATATTTCAGGAAGGGTGGTTTTGTACTATGTGTCTATGCTTGAGAATGCTCAAGTAAAACAAAAAAATTGTATGAAAGGAAATAAAACTGGTTATAGATGCCTCCTTTTAAGTCACCATAAAAAACTCCAGCACTAAAATGAGAAGAAAGAAATGATACCTGCTATTTCATGAGTATTTGTCATGTAGTGTTGCAGYCCTGAAGATTGTGGTTCTTGGAACTGATAGCATGTTCAGAGTAGCTGAAGTAGCTTTCTTACAGTCAACTCAGTAATCAAATAAAATATGAATCTCATTGTCTTCAGTTTTTTCACTAAATGTAACTTTCTTTATAACTTGGTTTCTTAGTCTTTTCCTTTAGTAGTGGTACACAAGGTCAGCCTTTTCAACTTTTGCAAAATGAGACAGACATACAGTAGAATGTTAGTGCAGCTGGTGTGTTGGAATGCGTAAGTTTGAATCATCAGTATGGCTGAATTTCTTTCGCAAATAGTTCTTATTATATGGAAAGTATTCTTCCATATAAAAACTTAAGGTTCCTGTACATACTTTATATCTAGTCATACCAGAAAGGTCTTAAAACATGGACCGAGAATGCCTTCAACTGAAATCTCTATCTGACTACTGCCATTTTTTTCAGTGTATTCCTTTGCATGGGCCCTGTTAAGTTGGCAGGGTTGCTGTCTTGGTATTGACTGCCCTGGAAGTTTTACTGTAAATCCCAGCMCATGTTTTGTACTGTGACAGTCTGCTTGTACCCTTGAAATACAGTTTTCTTTAATCATCAGCCTGATTTTTGCAGTTGTGTATATCCTTAATGTTAGATTTTTCTGATCTCTAGAATATGATTATTCATCCTCATCATTATATCAGGACAGCATTTTTATGGAATTTTTTGAGCATCAGGAGTGTTTAGCGCTCTGTAGAACAAATTGGACACATTCCTTTTGCCAACAAAATCTTATCTAAAAATACATTTAAGAACAGGGAGCCTGGCAGGAGTTGCTATTAACAAATGAATAAAAAATGTCACTCTCTAGGCAGTTGTATTTGAAGCTCTTGTCACTGGTCCAGAGTTTTGKAGCCAGGTTTCTTTTCAGATGCATACAACTTGTGATTTCCTAGTCAGAAGCTGTGTTTAAAAAAAGAGAACTATCCAAACTGCTTTAAACCTTAAGCATGAGCATTATTTATTCTTTTCCATTCTTTCCTGCTATGCCTCCACTTTGCAATAGGTGTACAATCCTCGTATCAGAGTGGAGTCTCTGTTGGTGACTGCGATCAGTAAAGCGTCTGCCCAGCARCGAGCTGGCCGTGCTGGTCGTACTCGGCCAGGCAAGTGCTTCAGGCTTTACACTGAGAAGGCTTACAAAACTGAAATGCAGGTAAGATTGTGGGTTTTACATTGTGTCTGTAAGAATGTCTGATTCAGGTCATTGGGTACTGTGCTATTAAACAAAATCAGAATTTCAATGCATCTGTAGTATAAAGTGTCTGGAAGAAGTGTTACAAATTTTCTTTTTTTTTTTTTTCCCCTCATCCCCCCAGGACAACACATACCCTGAAATTTTGAGGTCTAACTTAGGATCTGTAGTATTACAGCTCAAGAAGCTTGGTATAGATGATTTGGTGCACTTTGATTTTATGGATCCTCCAGGTACCTGTTTCCATCTTTCCAATCTTTATTTTTGTGACTATTCTATATAATGACAACATGGAATAAATTTTTATTGKTTTTTTTCTGTTTTTTTTATTGTAATCTGTAAGGAATGTCTTTCATTTATCCTGAAATTAAGTGCTCTGTGTCATATTGAAGGAAGAAACACAAAAAGCTTGCTGTGTAACAGCTTTTAATGGAGCCAAGGAGTTTACTGAATGCCTCTTGCCTTCAGAGAATAAGAGAAAATTCTTGGCATTAGAAAATCTGTTGAGTTTTTTTAACTTATCACCTTGATTACATATTCTRATTGTGCAATCAGTTAACAACTGTTTGTAAATAAAATGAGCTGGTGTTTTTAAAGCTGAACACATGGTTTTGGCTCAGACTGTAGCRTTAATGTGTGTCTTCTGAGTGTTAAATGTACATACGTGCTTCAGAAGTAACTGAGTTATGTTGCTGATTAAAAATGTAAATCTACCAAATATAAATGTGAATTAGTTGTTTTTCCCCCTAAAATAAAAATCTGACAGAGTCTGTAAGTTTTTAAATAGTTCTACAGAACAGTTAAATTCTTTGTGCTGTGCAATATCTTGCAACATCTATAATAGCTTAGCAGAATGACTTCTGGATTTCCTTTTTTTTCTTTTGTTAATACTAACTCTGTGTGAGGAATGCAAGATTAAGAGAACATTCTTAGTGGCTTTCTGAAAGACTGTAGGTATCTAGAGTTGACATGGCTGAGATTTTAGGACTATTGATCTATTTACTGTGGAACAARGGAAAAAGTATCTGCAGGGAGAAGTGATGCTACTGATACTGAATGTTTMACAATGCCACTGCTGTCTGAATTTCGAAAAGCAGTAATCTTCAAATATTCAAAGCTTGTGATTAAGTATAAAGCTTTTCTCAGGTGTTCACTGCCTGCCACCTCCATTCATTCATGCCTGGGTGTGTATTACTGAATTTGGTAACAGTTTTGCATTTGGATGCTTGTGAATAGAGAACAAAAAAAAAAAAACCAAAAATCAAAAATCCCCCCAAAAAAACCTAATAATTTTTGCTGATTCAGAGCAGTTGGGTTAATACGTGAATTTGCATRTTTTTTCTTTCAGCTCCTGAAACACTGATGAGAGCCTTAGAGCTTTTGAATTATCTGGCTGCTTTAAATGATGATGGAGACTTGACTGAGTTGGGATCCATGATGGCAGAGTTTCCACTGGATCCACAGCTGGCTAAAATGGTTATTGCAAGCTGTGACTACAACTGTTCTAATGAGGTCCTATCTATTACTGCCATGTTGTCAGGTAATAGCAGGAAAAAAAATACTAAACAAAATGCAGATCTTCAATTTGGGGAACTTTTATTTTTTTCWCATAAAACAAATAACAGAAATGTATTTCTAATAAAACTAGAATTATTTTTTAAAACTTCATATATGGGTTCAGTTATTACGGATTTACGTAGAGACCTTGAAGCTAGTGAGTAGTAAGGTTAAAAACTAATGCATAAAATGGTCAAAAACAGTTTGCTCCTAAAATTGGTTAAAAGTATATATATTTGAATTGTTGAGGGTGGGGTGGGGAATCAGGCTAGTGGAACAGAAATTGCTGTTTAGGTTCATAGTCAGGACCAGAAATGTCAGCCACTATTTTTAAGGTGGTGAAATCAATTTTGTATTGTGCATTCTCCTGYACTTTGATAAATCAGTCTTCGTAATCGGATTAGAGTATAATTTATATTAAATTATAAGCTCGTACATGTTATATTTTTCAGTCATTAAGTGGCGAAAAAAAACTGGAGAACAGTCAGTTCTTTTAAAGGAAAAAAAGAAACTTGGAAGGAAGATGTATAAGAATTAACTTAGGTGCACAACTGTACTCTGCTGCAGTTAATGTGAACAGCTCTGTGTCAGAGCAGAGCTGCTTGATGAGAGTGAAATGTTACCAAACAAACCTTGTATTTAATTTCCCAGTTGTGTAGAAGTGACTTTGTTTTATAACTAGAGGTCATAGGACAAGCAGSAAGTTTTAATTATTATGAAAATTGYGGTATTCTTACTCATGAGTGCTCTTTTGTCTTTGGGATGTGCTATTTTACCAGGCTGTCCACAGTGCTGACACGCTTAACTTGATTGGGTAGAGAAAAAAGAAGTTTTGGCTAATTGTAAAATCTGTTGCTTCAGTTTAGTCTTATAGTCTATTTATATGAAAGCATTTAAGTACAAGTTAAAATGTTTGTTTCAGAGTTATGATTGTTCAGACTCAGAGCAGATGGGCAGGGCAGAATAATTTTTTTAAAATTAAATGGTAGGCTTAATTGCGGAGGTGGTGGTAGGTTGGTGCCTGTCTTTCTCTTCTCTTCCCCCTTTTCCCTCCAGTATTTACTATAGAACAAGTCAGTATAGTTTTTTTTCCATGGCCCTCAACTGATTTGCCTTACTCCTTTTCCAGTTAACCTTTTCCCAGGTCATGATACCTTTTTTGTTTTAAGCCACGTTTAACATAATGATAAATAAGTTTTGGGGGAAAACCAAAAAATGGATTGAAGCTAGTTAATGTATGGAYTATAACTAAAATGCTACTCTTAAGAAACCCATAGCTGTGGTATTTGTGAGGGCTGTTTCCCAATGTCAGCACTTCTAAAGTAGCAGCATAATTGTGTGTTTTGGTGCATTAAGTGCACATAAAGATCGTCAGGCTCTCGATAGCAATCTGTGTATTAAGCTTGGACTGAATGGGAAACTAGATAACAGAAAAGAGCCAAAATAGCATTAAATAAATGAGCAGATGAAATTATTATACTTCCATCTTACGAGAGCCATGATGTCATGCTGTGGTATGGAAAGTGCTATTACTTTTTCAAAAAACCAGTTAAGCCARTGATAAAATAATCTGGATTTTTCTTTTATTAGTATGAGTTTGAAGTTATATGCTTTATACTATCTCTTTTTTCAAATGCAGGACCCACTATACAGGGTGTTGATTTCACACCTGCATTGCCATTTTCTTAAATGCATAAGTCTTCATTGATTTGTTACTGTGRCTCATGTTGCTCTGTGGGTTTTTTCTCTAGTTCCGTCTGGTATTCAGTTCACAATATCTAGTGCTTTGGGGCTTGTATGCAAATCTTTGAATGAAACAAAGTAAAATGATGTAATACCACACAAAAAAGCCCTCCTTTGAGAGGGATATGTCATATGCAGAGATCTTCTCGTGATTGTGGAGCTTCAGTTACGAGAAAACTAATGTCCCAAGYAACATGAAAAAGATAAAGGATTTTTAATTTTTTAGCTTTCATTTTATTGAAATATAATCTCTTTAAAATTACATCTACTTAAAACCAAACTGACATTTTTTGTGCAGATCATTACAAAGTAAATCACAGAATGGGTATGGTTGAAAGGAATCATAGTGGGTGACCTGGCCCAACCTTCCTGCTCYGGCAGATCTCTTATAACTACTTTAAAGATCTTGTGAATTGGTGTCAATCTTATAACTAAATAGAATGTTGACAGACCATGAATTAAAATTGCTGCAATACTATTTGTGATCTTTGCTAGTTTGTATCTGGAAAATAAATGGTAAAACATGATTTTTGGATGGAAGTCAGATGAGTCAGATGTATGTAAGAGAATATAATGRTAGAGAAAGCTCATCATGCTACATTTTTAATACATTTTTTTAAAACTTTTTATTTGAAGTAGTGCCAGAGGGCGGTTTAACCTTCCACCACTACCGCTAGCATCACAGCCTTTAGACTTCTTAATACCTTCATTCAYATGTTTCTGTATACCAGTGCTGATAGCAATACCATCTGGAAAGAGACTTGACCGGTGTGTTTTGTCTGGTAACAGACTTAGGATAATAAAACCTCAAGTTGGTTTAGACTGTGCTAGTACAGTTTCAGAACTATCTATTTCTATCTGTTTTGCTTTTTGAAAAAACAAAGAGTTTCATTCTTCATTTATACTTCATTTAAAGTATATTTTGCAAGGTAAAGTGCAGAAAGAACTTGGACATACCTTGACTTCTCCTGGTAGAGCTATCAGCACTGGATTTGAGCTAAGATTTGTTTAGCCTTCCAGTCTGTGTAGGTAACCTTGATGGCCTTCAGACTAGAGATTTTGATGCCTACATATAGTTCTATTAAAATAATCAGGTACTCTGTAGCTTTGAAACCCTCTTGTCTTACAGATGTGGTTAGGTGTTGATGTACCAATTCAAGGTAGTAAACAGTCCAAGATGCAGTTGGAGGCCATCCTGCCCTGCCCTATGCTCTGTGAACTGACCTAGCTAGGCCTTGTTCCTCTRTCTGTGAATGCGTGACTCATCGATATGGGCGTTTGTGTTGGGCCCATACCAACCTTGTTTAGTCCCACAGTGTTTTGTTCGCCCCACGGAAGCAAAGAAAGCAGCAGATGAAGCCAAGATGAGGTTTGCCCACATAGATGGAGATCATTTGACGYTGCTGAATGTCTACCATGCTTTCAAGCAAAGTAAGTCTGTGTCTGTTATAGTAAAATTGTTTGTAATGTTTTGKGCTGTCAACTTCCATTTCTGGGTTCCGAGGACAGTTCAAAGGCCTGGGTTTTGTTATTTGAGTGCTTGCCTTTGGGGGTCAAACAAAACCAAAAAACTACCCAAGCAGTCATGTAATAAACTGATGAGCATGCAGACAAGCCAGGCTTTTAAATCAATGCTGGGTAACCTTGGACAGAAGGAAGCAAGGGTTCCTGTAATTAAGAAATATTGGAAGTTTATATGGCATTAATTATTAAAAAATCTGCATAATTGCTTAGTGATTTTTCAGAGAGAGCARTGCAGAAAAAACTGAAATTGAAGAAGGATATGTTCCTAGAACAAAAACCTTCTTAATCCTAACTTGTTAATGCCATTAGCAGTTYTGTAATAAGGCTTTGGAATAGATTGAGAGGCAAAGGGTTGATGCATCAACAAGAGGTATGGTAGAACTGTGTAATACACAGGTTTCATTTATGTAATTTCTGTGGATGGAATTTAGAGAAACGTGTGGTCCTCTTCAGGATAGCTGAAATATATTTTAGCAGCTTAAAGAAGATAAGAATGAATAGATGGAGCTAGGACTTCTCTTGAAAAATGAGAAAGTGGCCCACTTTTTTTAACAGTGACTTATACTGGTGGCAGATAAAAATGCTGCTATAAACTGCCAGACCTGTAAACTTAGGTCCTCCAGTTATATTTTCCTGTAAGGAAACAAGAAGCCAGTAGTCTTTTTACCCTGAGTAAAAAGAAATGCGACTTAGAGCCTCTTCCTGTTGTAGGTTTGATTTAGAGATTTTTTTATTGAAATCCTCTAACATWATCATTATGTGACAATACAAAATAAAAATACTATTAAATAAAAATATTTTTTATGTTTAAAACAATAACTGAGAAGCTTCTATTAAACATTGGTAAATTTGGGATATGTGTTAGTTGTTTCTTTCCTGTTACCTTTTTTTGTTAATAGGATCCAATAAGTCCTGCAGACATTTTGTGCATGTTTCCAGAAGCCATTTCTTTAATACTCAGGTTACTGAGGGATGGAATTATTTCAGAAATCATCTTGTGAAATTGTGAATTGACTTCTGGGATCAGAAGACAAAATGCTACTACTGTTTGTATCTAGAACAATATAAAATATCTATGAATTATCTACAATGCATAATTCAGTTGGCTCAGAAAGTTGTATGCTATGGTACCRTACAGTAGAGTCATAACTGTACAAGAGCATCATTCATACTTCATTTAAAGTATATTTTGCAAGGTAAAGTGCAGAAAGAACTTGGACATACCTTGACTTCCATAACCTTCATTGTTTTCAATGCAAATTAAGAAAAGTCTCATCTTTCTAGAGTTACCTTGAGTTTTTATTCTTTTTAAGGCTGGCTTTGTTGGATTATTAAACTGACAAAGATTAGAAGAGCATTACTTGAAAAGTAAGAGAATTGCTAGGGAGATCTGGGTTTCTTCATGTGAAACATGCAGGTATTTATACTGACCGAATGGCTGAGGCTAGCTGTTTTAACAGATTTCCTCTCAGAGGTCTCAGCAGTAGGAACAGTRAGAGTACAGTGTTCTGTTACAGTTGCTGTATTTTACGAGTCACATTGAGTTAAACTGCTGTGAGGTGTGTCAAACTTAGAACAGACTGTTTGTATAGCTCTTAGCTGTTCCTTGAGTCCTTAATTTAAGTAGGGTTTAATTTCTCAAATATAGCGTGTGTATTACATTATTATGTGTGATTACATATTAATAYCACTGCAGCATGCAGTGACAACTGTACATAATAATTACCTATTATATACAGTTGTCTTGTATGTTCATTGTATGCTGCAGTTAAAGATTGCAGGGTGTTCCTTGTATCATGTTATGTTTTATGCTTCAGGTTTAGGAAATGGCTTTTCTAGTTGCAGGATGGATTTTTGAAATGTCCAAAATTTAGTGGTATGGTGTTTCAGTAAAACAATATTTCAGTAAAACAACAGTGACTGTATTTATGTTATGTTGGTGAGGGGAAAAAACTTGATTTTCTTCTGTCCTGAYCACATGCTTCCTGAATAGAAAAGTTTTGGCAAGTTACCTTATGCAAGAAATTGACTGAATAAACCAAGAGTTGTTGTCATGTACAAAAGTTTATTGATATATTTTTCTGGTTCATCTGATGAATTGTTAGTTGCTATTTTATTTACTTGTTCTAAGTTTGATTCATGTTTTCTAATGTTGCAGATCATGAGTCGGTTCAGTGGTGTTACGACAACTTCATTAACTACAGGTCCCTGATGTCTGCAGACAATGTACGCCAACAGCTGTCACGAATCATGGATAGATTTAATTTGCCTCGTAGAAGCACAGATTTTACCAGTCGAGACTATTACATCAACATAAGAAAGGCATTAGTTACTGGGTATTTCATGCAGGTATGTGTTTATTCTCATAGGGAGCTTAGTTCAGTGTTTATGTGGCTCGTAATGTTAGTAAAGCTTAACTTTAGTAATTTAGTAAATTTTACTTAATTTAGTGAAGCTTAATAAATGTTACTTTAATTGTATGTGGCTAACTATATCGCCAGCTAGTCTTTATCAGGTTGCCAGGTGATGATGCAAGTAGCATGTTCTTTAGTCAAATGGAAAAGAAGTTGTAGGTGATCTTACTAGTGTATCAAAATCTCATTTCTGGCATGACCATTCAGGAAGTAACTACATAAAACATTTCAAAGTAATTGCAGAATATGTAGTTCTAAAGTTATTTGTTACCAAAAGGGGAAGTATAGTGGTATATAAATATGAATTACATGTGATCCTTTCAGAAGGAGAGTATTTTCTTTTGTATGCTTTTCCATATTTATGTGTCACTTTTCAATTACATGAGTCAGATACTGGAGTACTGGAGCAGTTCTGTAATCTCAAGATGTATACTGTTTGAAACTTGTTTGCCCCTTGAACTAGAATGCTGTGGAAGCCAGTTGCCAGTGCTGCCTTCTGCATGCTTTGCATTTCAGGTTAAGCATGCCCCAAGCTAGAATGCTGCTTGGTTTTTTCTTTGTTGGGTTTGGTTTTTTGTGGSTTTGTGTTGTTTTGTTGTTTGGTTTGGTTTGGTTTTTTTGTTTTTTTCCCCTAGTCCCATCATTCTGTGCTTTTTCTCTTGAACATTCATCCTTAGAACTACCAGTCTCTTTGCTGGCTCTTGTGGATCCAGAGCATGAATCTTCATCCTCATTGACTCTGGATTGTTGTTATAATGCTTTTCCTAGCAAAAATGCATTCCGATACATCTCTGCAAAATCTCTGCTAGAGCCTATTACCATACTTCTGGAAAGCACAGTCTGTTAAGAGGCTGACCAGTGCTCATGGCATTTCCTGATTTTTCCCTTGGGSTGTGCTGTCATGGTGTTTGAACACAAACATTTGGTCTGTGCTGTGTGGGTGAGGGTGATGTGGGCCTGACAGGCACTGCACTTACACACCTGAACTGGGGCACAGACYGGGGCTCTGTCTTTAAACTGCCCCTGCCAGGGTGTCTCCTGGGCTCAGCCAGCCAGTTTGCAGCAGAAACATGTTTCTGGGTTTTCATAATACAGGAATATCAGCAACTGCCTTTCACTGTAATGCAAATGGGAGATTAAGCCTGTTAGCTGCTTTTAAATATTAAAATGGTTCTAAAGCCTTACTTGCTGTAGCTTTTCAGACAAGCAGGCTGTAACTGTGTTCAGTCCTTGAATTTTGGACATGTTTTCTGCATATTTTGGTGAACGCTTCAGAACGCATTCCTACCTAGACCTTTAATTCTGTAAATGTTTTGAAAAACAAAGAACAATTCTGTCCAACGTTCCATTTTGGGCCCTAGGCAGGTCTGAGTGCCACAGCTGCACTTTTGTTTAGTACCATACCCCATGCCTTCTTCTACTTAATTGAACCTGTGGGGAAGTCATGTACTTGGAAGTTGGTGTGCCGTCAGTTTTTGTTACTCAGAGTGCAACACTTCCTCTGACTGGTGTTTTCCTATTAGAAGGCACCTATTCCCATGAATGGGGAGCTGCACCAGCATTGGTGCAAGTAGATTTTTGGTCTGTCTATCTTAGGAGTTAAAGATTAGACTTAGTATTTTTGTTGTGACCAGAGTAGTAAGTAGATTCATGCACATGAAAATTAAAGCCTGTCCAGAAGTCTTCTTGGGCTTACATGGTCAATAGGTTATTTACTGCCTCCCTCACCCAAAATGCCTAATTGAATTTTTGGGCTATATCAAGAAATAGCTRCAGCAGACCTTTTGAAAGTATTTGGCATGGAAGCTGTTTCAGCAGTTTTTCGTCTGCTTTAAAGTGTTTCAGTCCATTTTAGTTTGACTTTTTTCAACTCTTTAACCCTTCCTGATAGTGATGTCTATTTGACCTTGACTCTGAACCCTCTGTCGTGAATTCCATGTTGCTGTAACCTTCAGTAGAATAATTTCAAGTACTCAAAAGACATGTTATTTACCAGCAGCTGAAGTACTTAAAATGCTAGTMTGTATGAAATTACACCTTCTCTAAGCCAATATTTAGGCTCTAGCATTTGGGGGCTCTTGTTCAGAAAACATTAGTAATGAAATGCATCCATCATTCTTTGTCCTCTAAGTACAGAAYGTGTGGAATTCCAAGTGTGGGCACTTGCAAAGTATGTGCATGTACAGTAAATAGCTTATGCATGTAAATTACTAAATCGTGTGGACAGCACATGGCATAAGTTGATTCTTCAAACTCTAAATTTAAAAAGGTAGTGTGAAATGGAAAAAACAATAGCAGCCAGTGTTCTGAAATAATTCTCATTTGCCGCATTGTTTTATACTTTGGCAATTGCCTGCTGTCCTAAAAGCAGTCAAAAAACTCACTGTAGAATTTTTTGTTCTAATCAAGACCTCTGGTTTATGTCAGTATAGGCCTGTACTAACTATCATCGTAGTACTGGCTATGTAATCAGTACTAYATGTTTACCTGCCTTTAGTTGTGTGTTAGTGACAGATACATGTGGGATTTCTGTTTGTGATGAATCATCTCTTTACCCTTCATATTTAAATGCAAATTTGAAYTACAGTAAATCTGCCATAGACAAGCAAAGTGAGTAGTAAATTAATTTAAAACTGTCAACTATTCTGTGTATAGTAAAACTTCTGGAAAGATAGATATTGACAAGAAGTTAAGTGTCTTAGAAAATTTTGGTGCTGTGTCTCAGATGTCTTCTAGTTTTTATAATGAAAAAGTTGTTTTTTTWAAAATAACATTCTATATCACCCATCAATATGCAAAGAAATGTAAAATACAGCACGAGTGATGCTTGCAAAACCACTTGCAAAAAGAGAAGTACTGATTTCCAGTACTGATTTCCAAGTCTTTTTTCGGACGTAGCCTGTCTTAAAAAGGGAGAGGAATTGGCATATTGTACAAGTGTAATATAATTGTAATTTGGTAATGAAATTCAGGAACTAGGTATAGATTATTTCTCCTACTTCTTCCGAGTAACTAATCATACTTTATAGAAAYATCTAAATAGGATAAATACTGTAGCTTAGTGTTAGCTGGGGATCAAAGCACAAGAGTAGGTTACCCCATAATGGAGGCTTATCCCTGATATCCACTGAAAACTAAGCTTAGAATCTTCAAAGTGTTAATAGTAGCTGAAGTAACTGTGGTAAAGATAAGCAAAAAATAGATTACTTTCTGTGGTGTAGCTAAGAAATTGCAAAAGGCAAGCAAATGACAGATTATCTTAAGGATGGGTCATCTTCCTCTTAGTGATTTTGTTTGTTTTTTACCAGTTGTCAAAAAGAATGTAGGTTTTTGTCATATTTTCAGTCTAGTATTGAAGACACATCAAGACCTGATAGTTGAAAATTTAAGTCAGAATTTAGAGGTGGAAGCAAATCCTTTGTGGTTTTTCAAATCAAAGAATGGGTYGGGTTGGAAGGACCGCAGTGGATCATCTAGTCCATCCTCTGCTCACAGTCATCCTAGAGARCATGGTACAGGATTGTGTTCAGACAGTTCTGGAATATCTCCAGTGAGGTAAACCACAAACTCTCTGGGCRGTCTCTTCCAGTGCTTTGTCATTCACACAGTARAGAAGTTCTCCTGTTCAAGTGGAACTTCTGTCAGTYTCTGCCTCTTGTCCTGTTGCYGGGCACCCCTGAGCAGAGCCTGGCTCCATCCTCCTGGCACCYTCCCTWMAGACACTCACAGACATTGGTGAGGTGCCCTCYCAGTAATTTCTTCTTGAAGCTGAACAGGCCCAGCTCCCTCAGTCTGTCCTTGTAACAGAGATGCCCCAATCCCTTCATCATCCTTGTAGCCCTCCTGTGGACCTGCCTCTGGAGTTTCATGTCTCCCTTGTACTGAGGAGTCCAGAACTGAACACTCCAGATGCRCCTCACCAGGGCTGAGCAGAGGGGCAGGGTYRCCTTCCTCAGCCTGCTGGCAATGCTTTTCCAGCAATGCACCCCAGGCTACCATTGGCCTTCTTGGCCACAAAGGTATACAGATCAGGCTTGGAATTTTTCTGGGGAGATGTGATTTAGTCAAATACAGGCTATATATGTATATAATGGTCACTACAGAGGRTAACCTTAAATGACCAGTAATGTACAAGAAGTTAGATGTCAGATGATTTGCCTTCTAGTTAAAATCTCATTCCTGATGCTACTCAGTCTTTGGAGCTTATTTCTTGTATGGAATTTTGTATATTTTGAAGTCTTTACATAATTAGGCTCCTATAATAATAGAATGGTAATAAAAKAAACCTTTGACATGAAGGTGGTTACTGGTGCATTTAATAGTATTCATTTTGCTCTTTTAAGAATGCAGAAAAATGGTGTAAAACTTTTTAATAGATTCAGAAACACTCTTGGGTGTGCTGCAAGCAGAAATTTTGGAAATCCAGGAAATTTCCAGGGTTTCTTTGGTGCATACTAGGATTCTTTTGTCAGAAAGAACAAAAAACAATAATTTCTCTAAACTGGCAAGACTAGCCTGCCACAACGTGTAGCCTTAAATCTAAAAAGGCTGGATCTTGTGATACTATTCCTRCTTTTAACCTTTCCAAGGGCATTTAGGTGTAGTGTTAATGTTTGACTGAAGACCCTGATTTCACCCTCTAGGTTCAGTGACATGATAGCTAATAAATAAGTACAAGCATACTTAAAATTTCAGAGGAGGGTGTGTAATTCTTAATAAAATTGTGATGAGAACTTTAAGTAAAACATTTGCCCCTGGTGGTATGTGTGACTCTTTCCGTGTGAGTTTGTCATGTTCATAAAAGCATTGTCTCTAAATCATCAGTTAGGTGGGCTTTCTGGGGCTGCAGAGTGATCTGTTGCAGTGATACATGGGCTGGCTTGGCACTTGACCATCCTTTTTGAGTCATGTTCAGGTAGCCTAACTGGTGATCTCAGGATTCAGTTATGTTCTACTTATCAAGAAATAAATCTGTTTCCTAGACATACTTTTTATGATACTTTGGTTTCTGTGGAAGCTTATGCTTTCTGTACTCTGAAAAGTRTCACAGAATGGTTGAGGTGAAAGGGCCCTCGGGAGCACGCCTGCTCCAACCACCCCTGCATTTACAGGCACTGATAGTGGTTGCATGCCATGGTTTCAGAGAAGTGTATATAAGCTGCCTCCCATTTGTCCTTGTTTGCTCCCTTATGTCAACCTTGGTGCTTGCCTGAGCCTATTCTAAATTCTTCCAGCTCAGTGACCTGGTGGGCCACTTACAGAATGGAAGCAAGAATGGGCTCAGTCAGCTGTGCTGGAATAGCGCAGACCGGGAGTGAGCAGGAAAATGCAGCAGCTGGCAGATCACCATGGCTTGCTGTGGAGCCATAGCTTCACTGTATATTTCCCCATAGAGCTGCCATCACTGACACTGAAATTCTTTACCAAGGTGTGTGCCAACAAACACACCTTGTAGAAACATCTGAACAGAAYAAATACTGCAACCCATTGTTAGCTCAGGATCAAAGCCAGTCACAATAGTGTGTAACCACCTAAAGGTGGCATATCCCTGCTACCGGTGGTCTAAGGAAGCATTTTCTTCTTCATTGGGGTCATTTCAGTTCTTCCAAATTCAGTCCATCTCTGGAAATGAAGAGTTAACTGTATGTTTCTGTAGCATTTATTTTATTTTGAGTATGCTTAATTAGTTATTTTGGAGTCTTCTAACTTAGTTCAGAATTACACAAAATCAGTAAGAAACAGAACTCTACCACTATAAATGACATGGGAAAGGAAATTGTACTTTGGAAAGGTAAATTGTAAGATTTTACTGTTAAAATACATATGAGACTGAAGTGCTTAAGGTAAATTGTATTGAAATTAACAGCACATGTTTCTAGCATGAAACATAAATAATGCATTGTTCTGTCCTGTTCTAGGTAAAATATACTTTCGTATGCATGTGTACTTCTGATTTGAAAAATGAAATTGGTTTTTAAACAGAATTTCCTTTGAAAAAAAATCCTAATCCCACAGCAAGGTGTGCTGTGTTTGTGCTAGGCCTGTGACAGATGARTGTCTGGCCTAGTCTGGCTTGCACCTGTGCTATTTAATTTTGCAGTGTTGTATTAAGTTGGATGAAATTAGGCCTAAATCATTATGGACAATGTGCTGTTAGTCTCCATTTAAAGAAACCTCTTTTGGCTTCCCAGACTTGAAGTAAAGTGTAATCTCTAAAATCTCAGGTGACAAGATTTGCAAACTATTGAAATACTTTGTTCTACTCCTAAAATATGCTCTGGATATTAATGTCATAATGTATAAAAGAGAAGCACAAAGTAAGTAATTCCTTACTAAATAGATATGCTGCTTTAAAATTTGAGGTAGCTATTGCTCTAGAAGTGGTGGAGTTTTAATCTAATGGGTGGAGTTCGTTCTTGACTGGGGGAAAAAAAGTGAAATATACCTAGGAATTGAAGAAAACAAGGAAGTACACAGTCTATATTAAAGGAAAACAACTAAGGGTGATTTTATTAAATGTGTCTTTTTGATGTCTATTGGCCATTGCCCAGCCTTTTTAATCTTTTTATTCTGTGTGTGTGTGTGTGTGTGTGTAAAATCAGATTGTTATCTTCAGTTACTGGTATTCAAGGGTTAATTTTAGTTACCTGTTCTGTTAGATTAGCTGTTCATACAGAGGATATCATTCTACAGATAACTGTCTGATTTACCAAATCTTAATGAGCTAGGTATCGGAGCATCTTGGCAAGGCAGGCATTCTTCCCTTTCTTAGAGCAAAAAGCTTAGTCAGAGAAAGGTTAATTGATTTTCACCAAGGTCACAGCAGAAATGTGTTGCTGAACCTACCTTTTCCAGCTCTGAAGCTCATCTTTTAGCAAGATGTCTCTCATAAAAGGATAACATTGTGACTTACTGGTCCCATAGTAGCTGCTGCAAATGAAACGCTTGAAGCAGATGTCTGTAGTAGACCACAGTTGACTTTGCGTGATGTTGCAGACCTGTCCAATATATATCCCCTTCCARTGCTTCGTGTTTGCATTGCTTCTGTTCTAATAATGATTATTCTCTTTGGATGATAATTATGTTTGTATGTTGCTTGAATTGTATATTAGAATATACATTTTACCATGGCAGTTAGAAAAACATCTGGCATCTCGATTGTGTCTATTAAAAAGCATGAACAGTTGAAGTGGTCAAGTAATGTGCCAAATTTAGATGAGGTTTGAAAGTTGGGATAATATGTTTTGTATAGAACACTTAACAATCAGCTTGGAATTGCTTCATTTAAAAATTGCCTTTGTTAATGAAAGAATGTCTTTTTATTTAGGTGGCACATTTGGAGCGAACAGGTCATTACTTAACAGTAAAAGATAACCAGGTGGTGCAGTTGCATCCCTCCACTGTTCTTGATCACAAACCAGAATGGGTGCTGTATAATGAGTTTGTCCTTACAACGAAGAATTACATCCGGACATGTACAGACATCAAGCCAGAATGGTAAGCCAGAGTCTTGCAACAGTCATGACATACTGTAGAGTTCTTGGTTTGGTTTTTTTTTTTCCCTTTTTCTAAAGTTGAGGTAATTCTTTCCACTTTCCCTGAGGCTAGTTTTAGAAAAACTCTGAGGGATGGCAGTGGTATGGAGTTGAGGTCTTGTAGATGACTAAAGGTTTTCTTTGTGTATACTTGTGTGTGTTTGTGTTTAGAACTCTGATGTCTGGACTCTATGCAGTGCATTGCTTGACTTAAAACCAGTTRCTTCAGGGATCCTGGAGCTGCTTGGAGTTCTAAGGAAAGAGGTGGTAATAGTGGTGCAAGCTGCCATGTCATGATATTTATTCATCAACAGAGTATATCAAGGAAATCAGAAGCTTGAATCTCTGCAAACAAGCAGAGATCTGAAGCATCTTGCCTGTCTTTGAGGTTTTACTTTAACTGCCAGGTTGTAGTAAGCTTTGGGGACACAGGAATCTCTTCAGTTGCTGAAATTTTACTGTTGAGCAGGAAGAGTGTAAAGATTCCTAAGCTGGAAAACTCAGCATATATATATATATTGTTCTGTAGTATTTTAATGGAAAATATATTTGAATCCCTGCTTAAAAATCTTGTTTTGACCRGGACTGTCTGGCCTGAAGCAGGATCCTATGGCCTTGTTTGTATTTTTAAGTTTAAAACAGCAAAGGATGAACAGGCACAAATGGATGTTTGCATAGACTTCTGTCWGTAGCTGTCACACTGACATTAAACGGCAGCTCAGGCTGTGTGGGTTACCATGGCAGGAATTGAAGCAGCAGCAAGAGGCTGTAAGGGTCACACAGCCAAACAGGAGTGTCTCGTGAGTGTCACGTGTGGCTTTTTGCTTTGGACTTGGAYACTTGCTCAGGATGGCGCTGCTATTTTAAGTGTGTGTACATGTGTGTAAACTTCTGTTAGTCTTAGAATTGCAGAGTGAGCTGAAAATAATGGATAAACTTTGTTTCCTTCAGTTGTAGAATTTTTGTAAGATGCATCTTCAAGTTTGAGTATCAGTAACAAGCTTCTCCTTTTTTGACAGGCTGGTGAAAATTGCCCCTCAGTATTATGACATGAGCAATTTTCCACAGTGTGAAGCAAAGAGACAGTTGGATCGCATCATTGCCAAACTTCAGTCCAAGGAATACTCACAGTACTGAATTTATGCTTTGAACTGAAGTTATTCAGAGGACAGCTTTAAGAGATGAAAGGATTCAAAGTTCAAGTTGTGCTCTTCACTTTGGTTCAATAATGGCCTTTATTTGAAAGCTTTTTAATTTTTCTTTACAGTAAATATTCCATTCTGATTTCATAAATTAAACATTTATGCCTCCCTTTTGTGTTGACACTGTAGCTCATACTGGAAAAGCTAATCAATGTTTTGCAGTTTATTGAAAGTAGTTCTATATATAACAATGTTATAAGCATTTCTTTAGAAATGGTTGAAAATGCTTCTAAAAATGTGATTATCGACCATGGTATGCATGATCGTTGTAATTGTTGACATTCCTTTTAGAAGTTGTGAAATGTTACAACTTGTGCTTCTGTAGACACAATCTTCGGCTTCAGTACAAGGGTACTGACTTCAATAAAGTCTATTTATACTACTTTTGTGCCACAGTATGTCAGTATTTCTGTTGTTTTGATCGAAGTACGAGAAGCCCATTTAGTCTCCCATTAAACTGCTGTTTGATTGACATATCAGTAGTTTAATATTTTAATATTAAAAGTGCAGATGTTTAAGCAGCACAGTGATAATACAATATGATGCATACAATGTTGATCCCTTGCAAACTTGTTAAAATTATTTACAAAAAATCAAAATGCATGCAGATATGTTAGGAGAATGCTTTCTTCCAACATATCCCTAAATATTTCTCAGACAGAACTGTAGTAGCGTGTCCTGTAAAGTGGAGTGTCTGTGGCCAGGTAGAAATGGCCTTCCTGCTGGGCAATATTCAGGTACTGTTTAGGATCAACACAAATGATAGCATAAACAACACTGTAGGTCAAATCACACCGCACCACTGTAATTTTGTAATGATTTTTTGTGAAATACGATTTGACAGTGTAATCCCATGAGGCATTTGTAGTAAAATTTGATCAGAGGGTTGGAGCACCTCACTTAAGAGGGCAGGCTGAGAATGTTGTTCAGCCTGGAGAAAAGAAGGGGGAGACCTTAATGTGGCCTTTGAATTCCTCCAGAGGTTTTAGAAGAACGAGTGAGGGTTTTTATCAGGGCTTGTGGTAAAAACTTATACCAGTGACAGGACATTGGTTTTACTCTGGCAGARGGTAGATTRAGATTGGACATAAGGAAGAAATTTGTCTCTGTGCAGGTGGTGAGGGACTGGAACAGAATTTTCTGGGGAAGTTGTGGGTGCCCAATCCCCGGAGTGTTYGAGGTCAGGTGGGATGGGGCTTTGAGCAGCCTTGTCTACTGGAAGGTGTCCTTGCCTTAGCAGGAGGGTTARAGCTGGATGATCTCTAGGGTCTGGTTGAACTCAAGCCATTCTGTGGTTTAATGTATCTGATCAGATTTCAGTTTTTCCCTCCCCCTGGAATACACTGAACTTTGGTCCTTCTGGCAAAGAGAAGCTGGATCAGCTCTTGCTGAAATTGGTTCCCTCAGGAGAGCTGTGCCACTGTCATGCTGTAAGGCTGAAGCAAAAATAGGTTACCTTTGTGGAGCTGGTAACCAACCTCAGACTAATTTTAAGCACTGATGTTTGGGGTATCCTGTCCTATTTAAATCATAGCAGTGGGCTATAAAATTACTTGGAATAATTAGAGGATTTTCTTCCAGTTCAAACATGTTTTTTTAATTGCTGTTTATAAGATGGGAGTAGAGAAGTTTAGAAACTTTTTGTTAGCAACTAAAACAATAATAGTGAAAATAAAAATGTAAGAAGACTAAAATTKGAGTGGATTTATAATATGCAGTGGGACTTTGGAGTCTGTCTTGGGTTTGCTAAGTGAGAGAGAAAGTGAGATGAGTCTGGACTCTCCTGCCCTACAAAATCATTTTCAGAAAGAAAAAAGGGAGGTGCTTCACTCTGCATAAAATGTTGAACTGGATTGGAGTTTTCTGATTGCAGTTACAAGATGTTTTATTTAAAACAGATTCCGAACTTAAACAACTGGATTTTAAACTAGTATTCCTCAATATGCAAATGTTGGTTTTGCAAATTCCTGCTCTGGGATGACTGAGGCTGGCTATGTGGGATTTCCTGATGACTTTCTTGCCAACTCTATGTGGGGGGCATAGGGGGCTGCTTTGYGCAATGCTGAAAACTGGCTGCTCCCCAGGTAAGAATTTCTCTTAGTATTTGTGTGCAGCTGAATGGTGTAGAACCACCTTCTGCATGACTTTCCCTAGGTCTGGCAAGGGCCACGGACAGTTCTCTGCATGAAACGCCTCAGGGACCCCAGAACCAGCTGGCATCAGCTGCTGTAGCTTGGGTCCTTGGGGATGGGGGAGCAGATGGCTATGGCTGTGAGTGGAACTTGACACAGGAGCGACTTTGGCTTGTTTTTGGTGTTTTTTTTTCCCTTGAATTGTCATATCCACAAGCTCAGCTTGGGCTGTGACAGCTGACCTGGGATCTTTCACTSTGCTCTGCCTTTGCTACCAGGAATGTAAATACTACTGGCCAAACTCATATTCTCTGACAGCTGTGCAACCCTGCCACCTTCCAATTAAGCTGGTGACACCTGGACTTAATTGCAAGGCTGGTGGTGTCCCAGCCGTCACTGGGGACAGAGCAGGCCCAGTGCCCCAACTCCACCTGTGAGCAACGGGAAACAGCTTTCCTGCTGAGATGCTGATGGAATCTGGGGGTAGTGCTTTGGGAAGATTTGGAAGCCTTGACACCTCGAGAACCTATTGCATTTTATACTTGTGTGACACTTGTGTATTCCTGAAAAACACTCCCYGTTCTTGAACTGACAAAGCACTGGCAATACTTGGGTTTAGGACTAAAGCGTTAYATACGCTGTGTAGGGAGCCATTCCTTCGCTACGGATCAGGTGGTGGAGAATGGCCMCAGAGTTGGAGCAGCTTTGTGCAGATGTGGTGCAGTCTGTCCTGTGCCCAGTGCTGATCTCAAACAACTGAGGGCATTTAAGGGTTAAGGGCAGAAATAGACTCGCTTAAATCACTGTGAATACCTCAGTTACTGAGGGGAACCAGGTATCTAAGGAGTCACTGTCTCTTTCTGAAGGAGTAATGACGGAAAGCACAACTTCTTGAAGAAAGATGTTTCCTGACTTCTAAAGGGAAACTCTTACCAGGAACTGCCTCCTTAGCTACTGCTGTCTCAGGGGTACACCAGATGCATGGAGAGGAGCTTGGGTTTGAACTCTGGGCTTTTTTAACTTGTGTTTTGAAAGATACAACCTTGTTCCCATTTTTCTGATGGGAAAATGTCAAAAAAGATTGCCCAGAGAAACAAAAGGAGACCTAGAAGTAGATACAGGAAGTAGACAAGTAGATTATCTATGAGCGTATGAAGATTACTGCCTCCCTCTTAAAAGCTTTGAAAATACATCTCTGCCTATCATCAGAGCTCTGGCTGCTTATGCTTACATACAGAGAATGCAGTAAATAAGGGGGAAGGTTGGAAATTAAGAGTTTGCTGGTGTCAAAAATTCAGCCACTTCTGTTTTGTTCTGTGAGAAGCCACAACTGCAAGACTGGGGCTCTTTCTGCTGGCCTGTAGAGTRAGGGTTCTCAAAGTACAGAGCTGCCCCCAGCAGCTGCAGCATTTGCTGTTCTTCTGTGTTCCCTGCATTACTGATGCCACTTCAGAGTGTTCAGATTGCTAGCCAGGGTGTATGTGTGTTTTGGAGTACAGAACTGTTCCTTAGGATTAGCTGGTTATCTCCTTTGGAACAATCTAAAAGGAAAAATGATGTATTGTTTACTTACAATGATCTTTTTATCAGAGACATTCTGATATTTTTTGAAAATATGTGGTTTGTATATAATAAAGTATTTATAGTGTGGGACTTTTGAAAATACAGAATGGATTAGAYGATAGGAAAACCAGTACTAAGTGAAAGGAGTATATTTTTTGAAAAGAGGAGAGTCTTCTGTCTTAATTGTGCTGCTGTGTAATACCTCAGAGCAGTAAAGGGCTAGTATTAGTGTGAGGTAGTAAGTGTCTTTAGGTTTGTTAGACACAGGTTACAAATGGCTAAGTACATGTGGTTAGGTACTTATCTTCATTATGGTGAGACAAAGAAGTGACTCCTTAATATTGTGTTCAAATTTGTAGGGATTTTATAGCGCTTAGAATTTCAGGGAATAAAGGATGACTCCATGCTTCGCCATGTTTTAATGTCATAAAAGCCCCTGAACTCTTGCTTTTGGGAGATCTGTGCATACTGCAATGCAAGAGACATGCTGAAGTTCCTTCAGGGTTTGTGGGAATATCTTCACACTCTGTACCTGTGCCCATTCTTTGAAGTCAGAGAGCAGCTGGTTTGGGCCAGCCTGGGTTGGTACCTTCTGTATCACTTTGGTCAGTTTTGTGTGATCACCACTTCCCKTTTTGGATCAGAACTTGTGACACAGCATTGGTTTGTGACATGTAACTTACGACCTGCACTGCTACACAGTGCATATTGGAAACCGCTCATTTGCCACAAGTAATGCAGCTCAAAGCAAAAATGCTGAAATTAGCTTTCATCATGTCATTTGAAAAGATACTGTAGCAAAAGTCAAAGTATTTTCTTCCATCCAGTCCAGCTACAATTATTAATTTGTAATCAGATTGCTCTAGTTGTTTTCTAATAATGTATAGCAATAAAAAGCCATACCACACCATGACAGTAGAAAGCAGAGTTATATTCTAAAGTACATAAATTTATTCACTTAYTGTAGTTTGTGAGTAGACATCTGTCTTGGTTTCGGAACAGCTGAGGGTTTTAATAATAAACATGTTTTACTATTAGAAGTATAATCTTACTCTGGTAGTTTGTTGACCTAAAATTATGTAACTTCATGACTGTGTATGTGACATTAGATTTATGTGATGCAGGGGGAAAAATTATCTACTTGGTCAACCTAGTTTATTTTTCTAGTAGTACTTCTGACACTAGTAGCTTTGTTTTGGAGTATGTATGCTTCCTGGAACTGTTCTAGAATTGGGCATTGGTTCCCAGTATACCAATGTCTCATATTTTTAAGCTTGAAACGAGCAGCTTTAAAACCAGAATGAAACCGTTATGAGAGCATTTGCCCCTCTCCACTTTTCCTTTCACAAATGACAAGCTTGGGCTGCCTCTTAATTGGCACTGATKCGTTTGAGATAAGTGGTTGGCATCAAGGAGATCAAGCTTCCACTATCAAGGGATTAAACTAAATATGGTAACAGCAGTAAAATAACATTCCTGTAGCAGYGGTAACAAGACTAGTTCTGCTGATTGTAGGTGTTCTGATTTTGCAGTTTCAACTCAAATATAGTGGTTTCTCAGGAACACTGAATGTATGTTGGACAGATGATAAAATAATTTTCATTTGTGTACATCTCAGCTCTGAGTGGTTCTTCCAGCTGTGAAAGCTATGCAGTAGTTTTGTTGTATAGAAAAATAAAACAGCACAAATTAATGTTGATAATAAATATTTCTTGTGGCTTCAAACATGTATTATTTTGGGTTGGTTTTATTCCTTCAGCAAAGTAGAACTCTTGCCTTCCATTTGAATTCAGTGTTTATTTTGTGAGCCTATGTTCCCGGCCTCATTGCTTCCAGCAGCATAAACAATAAACACTTASAGCATCGAGTACTTACCAAGTAGCCTCCACTGAGGCTACTGGTGGACCTCTTTTCTGAATGCTTTATCTATTTAAATATTAAGCTATGTAGTCAAACCACTTCTGATTATATTAGTAACCAGTTTTAACCTCAAAAACATCAACCTTTTCAGCTTTATGAAGATGCTAGTGTTTGCTATCAAAATTCATGTACGACTTACACAGTAAATTTGACCTTTCAAACCTTAGAATGATACCTTTGAGGTTGTTTCATTTTGCATGTTGAATAACAAGTAACTGATAAGCCTTTACTGTGACAGGGATAGTATAATTCTTTTAAAGAAATTAATGCCCTGTGAACCCTTTGTGAAAGGCTGACAATTTGTACAGAAAGGCTTACAAATTGTACAGCAGCAGCAGGTTTGAAGCAGTGTGAGTCTCAACATGTTTCTCTAAGCAGCTGTCCAAGAGGGCACTGACAGCTTTGTTCCAATGCATTACTGATTATACAATATAATAGAACTACTTCTACATACTTTAGACAAATAATTTGATCAAGAGCAGAAATAAAATGTAAGAAKTGGCAAGAATTTAAAATTCCAGTCTCGATGTTTGCAGTATGTACTGTTGGTTGAAAACTGACATTTAATATTCAGTAAATTTATGGACAATGGACAGTTTCTCCCTATAAGGAAACCAGTGTTAAAGTGTRTTTGCTCTAAAGCTCCCTGCTGGACTTGCTGCTATGCAAATCCAAACTCTATTCAAATGTCTGTTGTCCACATTCTCAAGCACTGTCAAATACAATGTTAAACATAATGTGGTGGTACAGTTCTGAYTTTTCTGAAGCCTCCAGAAATCCTGCTTGTTTCTGGAGGAGAATTATGAAAGGAAAAGTGAATAGGAAAACACCACTTTGTGATCTCATTCATAATCACATTTGTTCTTCACAAAATAATTGCCTGAAATGAATATTATTTTTGCAAGAAAAGTTTAAGGATCCAAATGTGTGTAGTCTACAGGCTCGATATTAGACTAATGTTTAGATCTCTCATTACAGTGAGGTCTCAGAAATTAATTTGCTTTTATTTTTAGCAAATTAATTTGATCATAAAAACAACTCTATAAATGCTGGATTTCATAGACTTGAACTTCCTAAATGAGGAACAAAGCTGCAAGTCTTTGTTCTTACTGCTTAAAAAACTTAAAACATTAAAACAACATGCTTTAAGAAAAATGATTTATTCTTTCCCTTAATTTTGGCCAACATGTAAAAGAAAGGACATGGGCTTACAAGCTGGGAAACCATTTCTGGTACAAATGCCTGCCTAGGTTTTCTCCTAGCAAGGTTTGTTTCCTTAAATGGCTCAAATATGATGTCACCGAAGAAATCCAAAGAGTATTCTGTCAAAACACTTTGAAACATCTATCAATTATCTCCAAGGCTTTGCTGCCTCTTTGTGGTATTTCTTGTGTAAAAATGGAATTCTGTATTGATCAAATCTCTTCTTGGGATTGTGCAAAAGACAGTTAAATGCAATTTCCCCAAGTTTTACCATGTGTGGCTGGCAGTCTGTCTTCCTCCCTCCTCCACCTTCCTTTCCACGTGATGCAGCATATAGTGCCAAAGAAGTAGCCAAATATTGTTTGAATCTGTAATACACTTTGTGATGGGAAGGTGCTACTGCTTCATCAGTGAGTGTTGAATAATGTGCTGAATGGTGTAGCCTCCTGCCTTTTTCATTATCTGAGCAATGACGAGATCTCCTCACACCTTTCAGTACATCCATCCTTAGAGAATTACTGTGACCGATAAAATAATGCTAAGTCTACTCCTTTTTTATCACTCAGTACTTTGCTAACAAGCCAACTGTACCCAGAAGCTGGCAGAAGATTTGAGGGGGTTTCTCGGATGTAAACATACACTGGAGGCAGGGACTCATGACAAGCCAACCATCTTGCTTCCTGCTAATTTGGGTTATTCTAGGATTCCCCCCCATCTCTGATTAGTTACTTCATAACTGTAATCACAGAAACATAATCACAGGAATGTTATTTTGGGGAAATTATAATCTGATAGGTCTTTAGCAATTTATTTACATTGTTAATTGATAGTGAGGCTATAAAAGTTATGAACTACCTCATAAGTTCATGCCTGCTGACATTTGAATGGCATATATTCACTGGTTGTTATTTATAATTTTAGGRGTATTGAACTGATGGAGATTACTCATGTTGAAAAGCTGCTGGAAGGCCTGAACTAGGAATTAAATTATCATAGTGGCTTCATTTTGTTAACAGTCTCATTGAAAATATCTTGCTTGCAGGACAATCAAACTCATCAGTGTTCTGCTCTTCCAGTTCAGTAGACAAAGTTTTAATCAGTGGCACACTTGATCTTGCAGAATTCAAGGAAAAATAATTTCCTGCATTTCTGAGATGAGTAAAATTCATGTAATCCAGCTTTAAAACTCCTGTCACTTTTTTTCCCTTCATTTTGAATAATCAGCTTTACTTCATTCAGTTGCCTTTTTCATGTAACTGCAATTATCATGATGACCCAATGCTTAGATGGAATTAGCTCATGGATGAAGAGCAAGCAACTGAATCTGARCTCAGGCAAAGCAAATAATAGAGTGATGGTGAGATCAAAACATATTGAAAAATGTACCATTTTCTCTGTGGTTGTATATTTTCGATTGGTCTTTGCATTTAGATGGCTTTAGAGAACCTTGTTACTCATTTCTGATGGTCTTACATAGCAACACTGAAAAAAAGTATTTTTTTACTGTCCTCTTTTTTATTGGAGCTGCTATCCTATCTTACCAATCATCTAGCTTCAATTATTTTTTCAGCGTTTGGATGAAGTACAGCATATGCAATCTTCACCATCGAGCAAACTTAGAAAAATGAATTGCATTCCAGGTCTTGATTTTCTTCTTCAAAACTCACGGCCTGAACTCAGCTCTGGGATGAAAACCAGGAGTGACAAAGCCAGTGCCAGTTACTTCTTTGATGTAACTGAACTTTCTGAACAAGGSTATAACCTGTTTGCACAGTAACCAAAAGTATTTTTTGAATGGTATTGTGTAGTTGAAGTTTGAGAGTGGTGTCCCACAATACTTTAGAAAAAGCTGTGTTTTGAATCATCTTGCTATCATAACATCATCTATGCTAATATTGGAAAATCTGCACCTGTAGCTCTTGTGGCTGAGACTGCTGAATCCAATGTGTGGAAGCTGTTTTGGGAACTCCAGGTCTCAAGTAGCTCGGAACTGGGCTGTGTAACCATGTAAAACTGAAAAAAAGACATTTGGATTTTATCTAGAATACAGTGAGAAGTCATTGCAAAAAAAGAACTCTGAAGAGATGTTTTAAAGGTGACCGTGGCTGCTGTGTTCTCATCCACTTGTAGTTTGATTCTCAGTTATACCTAATCTTACATTTTTGTATTATAGACACAAGTTATCTTGGAAGTTAAACAGACACCCACAAGTGCTGAAATCTCCACTTATTTCTGCTTTAAGTAGGCTTTTACTCCTCTGGGGCTAATTGCTATTATAAACATTGTTTAACAATGTTGCTTGACTTTTCCAAGGGTCTACTACTTAAACTGTTGATCTTCTTAAATATTAAAAAGACGTAATACCTAGCTCCAGAGGTGTTCATAAAGCCAAATAAAATGATTTGTTGGAAAGTGCTAAGGAAGCTTTAAGATATTAGCCTAATAGAAAACCTATGAGTGGACTTTTAAAGCCTTTCCTCTTCAATTTTTATGGACTCTCTTAATTGACTTTTTATGTACTTATGAATAGGCTAAGAAGAAATAGTCTTTTTTCCCTTTTTCTTTTTTTACCTGCAAATAAGATASAGGGACAGCTTCTACCTTTATTTTAGAATGTCTGATATTATAGCCTTGCCCTCTGAGAAGGATTTTCAGCTAATGAAGTCAGATGAAGTTACACGTCTGCTAATGCAAGTGACAATARTAAATAAAAGAATAGTACTCAAAAACATTTTAAGGTGTTTATTGATCACAAGCTTTAAAAGTAGTGGGGAACACGGCACTCAGTTCAGATGCTACACTGATTAGTGGAGGGACACTAAGCTGCCTAAACAAATTGTACAGCCATTGGGAATTAATTTTGTGTTGTAGAATCTTAACTTAGAGGCTACAGCTGAGTTGAACCCCGATTCCTTGGGTTTGTTCTGATAATCTGTCTTCTTAAATGGAATGTGTAAGTWGCACAGGAATGTCTTTTCTATCTCAAATTCCCCATATGCTTCTCAAACCAAAGACCTCTAGGAGCCTTTCTTGCTCCTAGAGAAATTTTTGAAGACATCACTCTGCATAAAAAAAGAAAGATGCTCCAGCTTTTGCCTATAATAATGAGGTATTAGTTTTCTCTTTGAGACATCTGKGACAAAACTTGGCACCTGGTGATACCTATTTAAATATAAATACTATTTATTGCCTGAAACAACTGTCCTTGGCCTCGGTCTTGTCTCAGTGCATGTCTTGGCCTAACCCCAGCGAGCAACAAAGGCCCACACAGCCACTTACCTTTTCCCCTCCTCCAGTGGGATGGGGGACAGAATGATAAAAGTGAGCAAACTCATCTGCTGAGATAAAGACAGTTTAACACATAAAGCAAAAGCCATGTGTACAGGCGAAGCAAAACAAGGAATAATTCACCCCTTCCTAKGGGCAGGCAGTTGTCCAGCCATTCCCAGGAAAGCATGGGCTCCATCACACATAAGGGGGACTTGGGAAGAAAAACACCATCACTCAAAATGTCCCCCCTTCCTTCTTCTTCCCCCAGCAGTATATGATGAGCACGATGCCACAGGGTATGGAATGTCCCTTGGGTCAGTTGGGGTC